GACCTCGCATTGGTCTTATCAACACCCTCAGCGGGATTCGAACCGCGACAGTGCAGGACGGCAGCTTGACGCGCTAACTAGTCGGCTACACTGCCACGAGTACCCTTGAGTCACAGGGCATAAGTGAGTTTCAAGGACGGTCATGCCTCTGCTATTTCATATTCTTTAGTGTGAGTGCCGATGAAGCAGACGTATGTTTGCTATAGCAATCGACAACGTTACTTATATTCGTAAGTAGGGTTTCGATGTTTGCTCCCATTGACTCATATTAGCAATTTTTTGTTTTAAAGTAGGTTTTCGAGACTATCAGTAAATTAGACATATGAACTATGTCTACCGTATTTCGCTTTAAAGGGATGAAGGGCGAGTAGTCGAATTTTCCCACTATTATATGAGGATATATATGGCATTTTTACTAAACTTTACATAGCCTTGCTTTCCCAAAAGGTCTTTTCATCTAGAATGGACTGCAGTTTCGACCTTGCATGAGCTTTATTAACAGCTCCCGCAGGACTCTTATTATGAAAATGCAGCATATAATCTCACGGCATTGCCACTCATATCATCGTGGGAAAATTTAACTACAAATCCTTATCACCTTGGAACGGAATATGTTGTTCTCAGTTCATATGTCTAATTGATTAGTAGTCTCGAAAATCTAATCAAAAATGAAAAATAACTAATGCTGTCGATTACAATAGAAAATATAAGTTTGCTTCATTGACAATCCCACCACAGAATGTGATAGGGAAAAATGCCTGATCTTCCTTGAAATTCACATTTGTCCTGTGACCTAAGGACACTAATGGCAATTTGGCGTAATGGCTAACACACTGCACTGCTATGGTTCGACTCCCGCTGGAGGTGTTGATAAGACCTATGCGAGGTCGAAACTGCAGTCCACCCCGGATGAGGACATTTTTGGGAAAGCAAGGATATGTGAAATTTAATGGAAACGTCAGGTATACCCATATCATTGTGGGAAAAATCGATTACCAGTCCTTAATCCTCTTAAACGAAATCGGGTGAACATATATCATATATCTGATTTACTGGTAGCCTCTAAAATCTACTGAATAACGAAAAAACGAAGCATGATAAGGTTTCTTTTTCTTCATGGATTTGCAAGTAATTTTCATCTAAAGTGCATTTCCTATAAATCTAATACTATCTTTAGGCCGTTCTAGAGGATAATTAGGTATGTCGAAAAACTGGGTTACGAAGACTCCCTTAATAGATTGGTGCTGGAGTAACATTTATTTCGCATAAAGAGACGATTCTTAAGTTGGCCTCACTAGAATCTGAAGTAGTTGTTTGAGCCTATCTAGCACAGGTTTCCAACAGTCTATTTCTTCTAACTATATAATTCTAATCATTATGGACAACTATTTTTGCTTGGTAGCTATGGAAATAACTGCTAACATCTCTGACAAACTTAACCATGCCCTGAAGATTAAAGTATCCAATACAGTATGCAATCATTCCATCCCGCTGGCTAGTTGATAAAAAGAAATAATCTAAGCTATTATTACCGTGATCTGAACCTGATCACAATGCTAAGGTTCATAGAGTATATACACCATGTGGAACTAGCCAGATGAATTTTCTCGACTGGTTTACCTGAATTAAGTTCGACAATAATGAATTGCTCTGGCGATGACCATCGTATAACCGAAGCAAGTTGGCACTTTTTAACCGAAATCGGATGAGGATATCTCGGCGGCAACATCAGCCAAAATGTTTCAACCATGACAAAGAAAAATCTTACCAAAAGGCATCTACCGTCGTTTTCTGAAGGGGTCAACATCAAAACGTCTTTAGCATACACATGCTGTCGAGGTGGAAGTGAGGTAAACAGTCACTTGTCTGTAGACGCTGACTTGATTTCATGGCTGTTGGAGGAGTTAGTCCGGGTTTTGAACCTGTTTTAACGTGAACCTGTTGTTTGTAAAGGTCCAATGGAATAGGTTGACGCGATGATGATACTTAATGAAGCTAGCGAGGTAGTGGCCCACTCCAGTGTTATCATGAAAGCAGTAATACTTGCAGCAATTGAGCTGGCCCTGAGTACGCCAAAATATAGGACAGTTTTATTATTTTATTTAAGAAACACTTCTATAATTAATCTGGTAGTC